ATAATCATCTGTTTCTAGTCACCACTAACTTTAGGCACAAAGAGAGACACGGCGTAACGTGACGACCTCCATCACCAAATCGACGCTAGACTCAGACCACATAGCCATAGAGTATCGTTGGTGAGGGTCAGTTGAAGACTGCCGATCTTTCTAGAACAAGTGCATAGACTCTGACCACGCTCTGGCTCGCGCACTTTTTGCTTACGACTAAACGGACATAAGAAATTGATGGCAGCGAAGCAGCTACATCCCCTAATAGATTCAGATTCTGAGTCCCTATTTAATGATGAAATACCGAAATGAGTATCCGAGGTCAACAGCAGGACTTCCCCTGAGATAGCCTGGCAAAACATACAGTTCCATTATGGGTAAATTTTTGTTTTGATAAAGTCTCACAGTGTTATACAGTAATGTTTACTGATGACGTTTCGAGCACAATTTATTGCTCATAGTCATATCAGGGTAATCACACGACTTCCTAAATTCATTTATATACTTCCATTGTTTTTCTCTTGATTTTCACTTGATTTCTCTGGTAATAGTATTTTCCATATTTCAGGTATGAGTGACGAGTCATTACTATTGCATGTGTTGGGTGTAGACTCGATCAACAAGGATTCAGTAATCGACCTCTCTCTCTCTCTCCACCTACCTAGATTACTTTTTAGAATTTTAACCCTCTCCCACCCTATTGTGTGGTTGTGTGTTAGCGCATGCATTGCAATTGCTCAGCTTTTTTCTAAATTACTTATCTTCTCGGGGTCAACCATTCTTACCTTAGCTAAATTCTCATGCTCTGACAATCTGACTACCCCTGACCTACTAGTTTGACCTATGTAGTTGACCTCACAGTCATTGCATGGTATTTTGTAAATAATATTATTTTGTCTAATCGGGTCAACTGGGTCCTTTAACCTACAGAGCTTGTCCTACCTGAGTGAGTTTGTAGGTTTAAATGCCACCCTAATTCCTATTTTATTCAGAATCCTACGTAGTGTCTCAGATGTCCCCTCTTTATATGGTATAACTGTGGATGACTTATATTCTTTCTTATTTATGTTATTATTACTAGTTTCACAATTATTTTTATTTTGTTTTTGGCCTTTAATGATCTTCCTAATGAATTTCATAGGATAGTTATTCAACACCAACGCTTCTTCTATCTGTTTTAATTCATCATTTAGATCTTTTTTTGTGCTACTTAGTGCCACTGCTCGGTTTGTTAAACATTTAACTAAGCCTGCCTTAACAGTTGACGGATGAGACGAATTAAAGTCTAAATATCTATTAGAATTCGTTGGTTTTCTATAAACACTAGTGTGTAGTTTGCCTTCTTCTATTCTTTTTATCTTACAATCTAACATAGCTAATTCTCCTTGTTCATTATCTTTCCTAATGTGTTTTCTGACATTCAGCTTATTTTATGTTGATGCTATTTAGCTATAATCTATCAATATTATTGATTCGATGTTATTTAAACAACATTAATGTTGTTCATAACACTAATTCACTCATTTACTATAGTGTGTATATAACTGTAGAGCCTGATGATGAAGCTATTGAAAAGAATACTCTTTGTTCAGTATCCATTCTTTTGAAATCAAATTATTTTGAATATTTATCTATTAGATCGGATTCTTTTGCACCTCTACTTTGTTATATGTTGCTGATACTGTCAAGATGAACTTTGTTCAGTACCAGCATTTCAGTTGTGGAATTGTTGCAGCAGCTGGCTGGCTTGTTTCTGTTGGATACCTTATTACATTGCATCACAGCATTTATGCTGTGCCATACAGTCTGTCCTAACTCGAAAGGGAATACCAAACAGTCGCGTTATGGATCTCCGGTATATCCTTTAAGTAACGGTGTTTGATTACACCACCCCAATCGACCCACCATAGCACTACAGCTCCCCAATTTCCTAACGGCATATTACCTGGGAGATCACTGACAAACGGTGTATCCCTTCACTTTTCTAGTGTATTACTTCCAACAAATTTGAAGAAGTGGAAACAGTTCATTACAACTGGAACGCGAATACCACTCAGTTATTTGCCCTGTCATCCTGTATTTCTGTATGAATCCACTACTTATAAAGATTAGGCTGAAAATGTACTGCCAAATTTGATGCATAATTTCAGACGTCGTCTCACACTGCTGATGATCACTCACGAAACCGAGTAACTGCCTATGACACTAAATACCGTAGATGCAAATTTCTAAGGGTATATCAATTCTTTTGAAGCTGTAAATATGTCTTGTCGACATTAAAAAAACGTGATATATCCGTTGACAACTTCCTAAAACTCTATAGAATCATACTTTCGCAGTTTTCTTTCTTACAATTAGACGCGTGATTTTGTAGTGCCTTTTTACAAATGAATCAATAATTTCTCAGGAAATGTTTACCTTGATGTATATCAAAGAAGTTATATCACAGAACCCTGGGCACTGCATACTGATGAAGAGTCCCAGATTAGGACGAAACAGGCCCCAGTTGCTCAATGGTCTACGAGCTTGCTAACCTTTTAACCAGAAGATCCTGGTTTCGAACCTTGGTGGTGGTTGAGTACTGTTGAAGAGGCCCACACTAGGATGAAACCGCCGTCCAGTACTCCCTGCAGGTTTTCCAACGCTCCTCTAACTGATGTCAGCACATGATGAAATCCTCCAACCAAACAAACGAAAGCCCTACAAAACCAATACTTGAAAATATCAAAGAACTGTTAATTTACGTTCGAATAGGTATATGAGCGTTTTTCATTCATTTTAAGCCTTTTAAAACAACACCTTTCAGTTTTTCAAAAATCGTATCTCTTTTGTAGACACTTAATAGTTTCAAAATGTATTATGTCACGAACTGCTAATAGTTAAAGAATCATTGATAACCAGGTTGTTTCATTCTACTCTGAAGCTGATCTTCAGTTAACACACACTCGCGACTCCTTCAGAAATAAAACCCCAAGACATTAAACTTGCAAGCCTCGTACACTGTCGTTTACCGATTGGGTCAAAATCCAAAGTCTCATAAATGCTGGATTGTGTCGATTTGTTACACAATATTAACGAACATCTGAGAATTTCATTACATCTTTTACGCCTATGACATATATTCAGAAAGACTAACAAATAATTTAAAGACAAGTCCCCGCCCCCTTCGTTACGTAGTCTGGTCTCAAGCATTTAAAAATGACAATAATTGACGGAGTTGAAACACTCCTACGCAGAGTAAGAACAAACAGCTACCCAAAACTAGTGGGTTTGCAGTAATTCTCTGATTCATGTCGAGTTTTGATCAGAACTTTTGAAATCAATCATCAAAGTAGAAATGTAACGTGAAAAGTACACATCATCTAAATTATTTTAACAGTAAACATGTCAGTTACTGGCTTCTTCAAATGAATTAACTAGTAACCTACGTCCTGTTAAATACTTGTTTTAAGTTTACGATAATTATTTATACAGGCTTGTGATTTATCGTCAATATTTCTGAGCTGAGATGACCAACCTCATTTTGCCGTATTACCTTGAATGGATCCCTCAAAAATACCATGACTGCAAATTTAAATTCATGGGGAATCACAAATTCGGCAGTCTCAATGGGACACTACCACTCACCCACTAGGGATTGTAGGTACGCTTAGCTGATGGGTCCCAAGTAGGACGAAACACTTGGCAAGGATCCTCCTACTGGCCTCCACAATTCACGCAACTCTGTGGTAATTATTTTTTGGATGATGAATAGCACTCGAATCCATGGTGTGAGTTTCGTTCTCCCAGGGACTCGTCAACTGAATATACCAGCGAACCCCACTGCTTGGTAATGTTCCCAGTCCAGCCATGTGCCCTTCGTGCCAAGCACTAAAGCGTTATCTACTAGACCACTGAGGCCACGAGCGCCACACATCGTGCAACTTGATGCTGAGCATTTCAGTTCCATCAGCCAATGGGAAAAATAATTACAATTATTTTAAATTTTTATAATTATATTATAATTATAATTAATTGTCAAAGGAATAAGTACTGAATTAGCCAATTTCAAATCGTGGTAGGTTCATGTTGCCGTCTTGCATTCTATACATATTTAGTTGATGAGGTCCATTAAGTACGAAACATAGTTTTGAGACCAAATGTTTACATTAAATCTACTGGTGTGAATGTTAATTATCAGATTATCTCTTCTTGACTGGATTTAAAGCATTGAAATTAAACAAGCAACTAAGGTTGTTAGGTTGAAGATATTGACATCATAAACCTGAGTAAAACTCATTAGCTTATTACGGGATTTTATACATCGTTTCATACAAATGACATGTTGGATAAACAAGGGCACTAATCTTTGTTTACCTACTGTGCTTTTTTAATATTTTAAGTATCCATTTTTTAGTCCCCCGTGCTTTGTTAATTGCTCCTCGCGTATCATTCGATGTTTGATATATAATAGGTCTTCCCCTTCCGTTTCTATTTTGTGTACCTGTCACCTGTCCATTGGCTTTAACGTGATTGAATTATTTCGCAAATATATATGGCGTTAATTTTCTTCCCCCAATCTGTTCTTTATTTTAGGTGTCTGACCATTTGCCTAGATCATTATGCTACCTACTACTATAGCCTACAATACATTCTCGTCTGAAGGTCAGACAATCTTTTTCCACTATAATATCGACAAAGGTCAACAGACGTCATTCACATAATAATGACTCATCATCTATGATCAGCTGATGCATCAACTTATGCTATGCATCAATCTGTGTGTATCACACTTGCCTAAACTAATATCATAAAACAAACAGTCCCCACATGTCTTTTATGTGACTAAAGTTTTTAACCAATTGGGGCTAGACATAAATGGTGTGATTAATTGTAAGACATTTCTAGCGCATAGATAGGTCAACTTTGCTTATGAGTCAGTCAAGGTCAACAGCATGTGTATGAATACAATTAAATAGCAAAACAAACAATTATTTTTTATTCATCCAGTGTTAGTTATGTCTCGTATCATGTCAAGGCATCAAAGTGATAGTTTTATGGATTATGGTATTAATCCTGTTACAGCACAGTACATTTTATTTACATCATTACAAAAACTTGATCAAGCTAAACGTTCTCGTGGTGGAATTAGACTTCGTCATGGTCTGATGATTGCTGTAACCGCTTTGAAAGCTAAACAACTTTTATGGGGTCAAAGTCAACCTATTCATGAAAATCAATACTTGTCAAAAGATAATACATTGAAAACTAGCACACACCATGAAGACTATAATTCTGTTCAGATGGAATGTAATGTTGTTTATAATCAACCAGTTACAAATCAAGAATTCAATAATTTCACTTACCTTCATGACCCAAGTGAGTATTCATGTTTTTTATGTTTTTTCGTGTGACTTTATTAAGCTGAGCTTGCTTTGCCAACTTCCTGTTATCTTAAATTCACTTATTTATCTAATCAAGCTTGGTACGAAAGGTGTACCAAGAAATAGGTTATGTTCATTTCTTGATACCAATTTAACACTGATAACGGGTGCTAATAAAGCATGACTTAATGAGTGCACCAGATTTCGGCAGTGTATTCAGCTGAAGAGTTCTGCTGAAGTTTAATAAACCCATCGAATCCTGCTTTATAAACATGTGTCTCTTGTTTCAAATGTGCTACACCAAAAAGATTGACGACACTAATGTAGCCAATTGAGTGAAGGTGGCCTATGAGTCCTGTATTTACCCTTATTTTTTTTTTACTTTATACGACGTAATATAACATTGTTCTGCCGTATTATATGAAACGTCTGTGGTTATACTCGGATTCGTAGAGTGAATATGGTTTTCTTGGAAGATTACCCCTAGAAGCTTCGGGCTGAAGTCGAATGCATAAGACAGCAAAGCAGCGTCGAAATCTGCTTTCCCGGGGCTCCTATTGTTGAAGCGGTATGCTTAGTACATCAGTCATTTGTTCGCTTCATATCTTAGGAGATAGGTGCACTATTAGGTTCCCGAACTCATCTATATCAACTTTATGTGCTCGTCTGTACAGTGACAAACGCCGACTATTCGCTTTTGAACTCATTAAGAACGAATAGAACTTACCTGAAAGATATTTTAGATGCGTGGTCACTTGAGAATATTTTAAGGATACAGCCACAATCCGCCTACCATCAACCGCAACAAGTCATAACAGGTGTCTCAGACCATTGGGTACCGATGGTCAATGCATGTCTCATTACTCATACGTATACATTTATGTATAATACATTCAGCTTAGTGAAAGTCGAAGAAGAAATGTGGTTCCCTAACATAAACGCTTGACTCCGAAAATGAATTCTCAATTCGGACCCTGTCCTGCCTACTGTAGTCTGGGCAACTGGGTGCTAATTTTAGCCCTCACATAAACTGTTTGGCTGAGAGCATGGTACAAGGGGGACCTATTCCAGATAGCAGTTCTAATTACCAATTTAAGGTATGGGGAAATTCTTTTAGTGTTTTCATAAAACGATAATCTAGGCAGACAAAGTAACTTCAATTACTTTAGATGGAATACAAAAATTGGGGTTCTTGCAGCTTCATAACTTCATCAATTCACTTTCGTTAGCCAAAACTATACGCCTAAAGTAGTTAACGAGCGTTGAATTTCTTCTAATTTCAAATAAGTGGTAGAGTTACATAAATATTTTACCTTGAAGGTCACCGTAGTAACACCAACAGTCCCCATTACAACATTGTTCCGTACAGCACAGAAACAATTTCACCTTGATTGATTTTTTTTTTACTAAATGACACTTAAAACTTTCTTGGGATGTTTGTAATGTGTATCACAATTATGAATGCAATTTGGAATCAAGCAATGGGAATTTTAGAACTTCTCCCCCATAACAGTGACTAGCATTTTTTGGGGATTTTCATGGTCAGTCTCTCAGTTTTTTAAACAATTATTGTGGTCTATACACATTTATAAGACATTGTAGCGGTAAATAATTCCCCAAAATCATTGACCACAGCAATCATCACTGAACATTGGATGCTTATCCTCATTGTTTAAGTCAACTTGTTTAGCTGTGGGCTTCCGGTCAAGCATTCACGCCATTTGGTACTCCGTTATGTCATGTTCGTGCACGATCACTAGTCGGCTAAGCATTCATCTGGTCATGATGTTAGATTGGGTAGCTGCTTTTTGTTTAACCGCTATCCAAACAACCTGCCTGGCATGGTAGGACCTCAAGAGACATAAGTCTCAGTCAGTATAGCTTGAATAGATCATTGTGGTGTTCAAGCCCGACCACCACGTCAAGGTAGCAGCTTTGTCTCACACCTCTGCTCACTGTTTCTATTATGTTTTTCTTGTACTTTCTTCTCTTGCTTCGCGTGCTACACGGAGTGTGGCGACTTGAACTTCCGCACATTTGTGCAAAGTTCTATGTCGAAAACAGACAGACAGACAGACAGACAAGCATTCATCTCGGTCTACGATTTTATCCCGAAATATATCTCTTAATTTGGACAATCGATTCTATGTTTTTGCTTTGCCTTTGGTCCACGAGAAACGAATACTATAGAAGTTGTTGGTATAAAATCTTGCGTTAGTATACTCCGTACAATTCGCGAACGTCAATACCGTCATCCTCTAAAACCTCAACTGAATATTGTTTTGTGCACTAGGTGCTGATCTTGAGTTCTAGTGGGAAGACCTTTACTTGGCTGATGATTCCCAAATAGGACGAGGTTTGCATTCTAGATTCTACTGTTAATCAACATCCACCAAATAATTTTATATGATGTTTGACTTCTGACCCACTGATTAATTGAACACTATTTTCAAGTATTGGTTTTGTAGGGATTTTGTTTGATTAGATGGATGAATGAAGTAGTCTTAATGATTTAAAGTAAAGCTGTATATGATGAGTCAGACCATTTATACCCAAAAGAGAACTTTACATAAGTCTACATTTTATTGTTTAAGCTATTATAAGAGATTTCATATGTAAGGGACTAATATCTGTAGAATGAGTTGACATTGTTCAGGTTATTATTATTATTTCCTTGGGTTCCGAGTGGAACATAGAGCTTCAACAACACACCTCCACTCCGTTCTGTTCTAGGCTGGCCAGTCACACGATTGCCCATAATCTCTCATCTCACCATACAATCTCCTCCATGTCACCTTCGCACCAGCGACCCACTCGTTGCCGCTTCTCATTGGGATCCCACTTGAGTGAAGGCTTGCATTGAACGCGATGTCATTCGACAGTCTCCATTTCCTCCCACATATTTTCTGAGCAATCGGCTCTTGGTTGGTTTGTTGCCAATTCTTTGTGGCCGTCTAGCTATTTGATCTTCAATATGGTGGCAGCTGTTGATAATAGTCTGTGACTTGTTTGGTAATCCTCTTCGTGACACCCTGGTCAAGCTTTTAACCAGTGTAGAAGAACTACTTTAACATTTGTGTTGAAAATCCGAATCTTGTTGCTAAGTACAAGAGATTTCCAAACTGGTTTCAGGTTGACGAAGACGTATCTTGCTTTTCCTATTCTGACCTTGACATCACCCGTTTCGCTTGTGGTTCCAATGATGCTTCCTAGACAAATGAGAGAAGTACTCTCTGTCAGGCTTCTCCCGTTGATGGTGATTGGTTCTGGTTTTTGTTGCTGACTACTGGTTGGCTGTCTTCATCCCTATGTTCATCCGGAGTCCTATCCTCGCTGTTGGTATCTTTAGGCAGTTTGTTGGTTTTCGCCTGTAATTCTTCGAGTTTGTGTGACATTAGACATATATCATTTGCGAAATTCAGATTATCTGGGGTCTTATTATCGGTGGTCAAGTGTATTCCTGTCTCCTCGCTCTCCACGATCTGACGCATAATGCAGTCCACCACAATTTAAGATATCGTAGGTGGTAATAGGCAGTCAGCCTTGTCTTATTCCTGTATTCACTTTGAACGCCTTGCTGAGTTTTCCGTTGTAGATTACGTGACACGTGGCATTGTCATACATCCAGCTGTTGAATGAGGTTGAGGAAGACTTGGGGCGCTGCACTCGTAGTGTTGAAGCAGTTTCCAGATTACATCGCAGTTAACACTGTCGAAGGCCTTTGAAGTGGAGGTAGAGGTTGGACTGCCATTGTATGCCTTGTTCAATGACGAAGTATAAAGTTGAAATTTGTTCAGGACACGATTATTTGCCTTTTCTGAATCCAACCAGGTTGTTCCAGTCGGGCTGGCGGAGTTCTGCATCCAGTTCATCTTTCAGTCTCTCCAGAATAACGTGATTTTGCATTTTACTTCGCACGGATAAGAGCATTATTCCACGCTAGTTCCTGCAGAGTAAGGCTTAAGTCGCCTTCGACAAAGTAGCCAGCCTTTCTTCCAGTCAGAATGCACCTTTCCTTCCTTCCGAAACTTTTGCAATAATGGCGTGAGCAGATTTGCCACAGTCTCTGGGTCCGTTTTCAGTGCTTCGGGCGAAATTCTGTCTTACCCTGCTACCTTCCCTGCTGGCTTTCAGCAGCTTGACCTCATTCAAGATTCCGGCTTTCTATGGGGGATTGGTGTCCACTGGCAAGCAGTTGTGTGCGTGCTGTTGTTGTTGTTGTTGTTGGTATTTCTGAGCGAGTTGCATGTGATGGTCATTTCAAAAGTCCTTTAAAGTGATCTGCCCATTGTTTTATTTGTTTCTCTTCCTTGGTAATCAGGTTCCTTTGATCATCTTTTATTGGTATCATCATCTAGGTTGATCTCTTGCCGGATAGCGAGCAGCCTGGTTATTTGATATGTTCTCAGGTCTGTTTTACCTGAGGCCTTTCCGTCCTGCTTCCGTTGCCGGCCAGTGTCTTGTAATTGTCTTTCCTGATACTCTTCTTCATTTCTTTATCCAGTGGGGTGTACATTGAACTCAGTATCTCCTTCTGTTGTCCATTTCTGCATTGAGTTGTCATCTTCTCTTTCACTATCCTCTTCTCGTCACTTCTATTAGATTCCATGTAAGTGTCCGTAGAGAGACATTCCTTGGCTTTTCTCTTCTTCCAATGTTCTTCCACTGAGGTTTCCTCAGTATTGCCACGTAGTGTCTCCGACTTCGCTCTGATCTGATCTGTAGTGAAGGCATCCCTCGTATATTTATCCTTCACTTTCTGAATGTTGAACTTGAATTATAATGGTCTATCTCCAGTTGTTTTGAAGGATTTCAGTTTCACCTTGAAGGTGCCTTGAACTAGATGGTGTTCTGAGCCCACATCTGACTTGTTGACTTTGTGTCCAGCAGACTGTGTCTCCACTTCTTTTAGAAGCATTGAGATAAAGTCTATCTGGTTCGTGGTGTGTCTGTCAGCCGAAATCCATGTTGCTTTGTGTATATCCTAGTGCTTGT